GCCCTGAGACCAGGGAGACGAGTTTCACAGCCCTGTGTGATCACCCCGGCCCAGTCCGTCACAAACCAAATTATTGATATTTCTTGAAGTGACACACGACCCGAGGAAGGCTACACTTTTTCCCCGATTTTCGACACACCAAGCTGAAAAGGTTAGCCATCATTGCCTTATACCATATTTTGTCCCTTTCTAAGGGACACTCAAGTTCCAAACATTGAGACAAAACAAGATGCAATCAAAGAGTTGTTGGAAACTGGCAGGAATGCCCTGATTTGGTCACTTCGTTGAAATAACACATCAGAAAAAGGGAAATGAGGTTCTGGGGTTGTAGAAAGTGGGAAGGAAGCATCTGCTGACCTGTGGCTTCTCAGGAGACGCACCAGGGCCTTAGCGATGACTCCAACTTCAGCTTTGGGGGCAAGATGGAAGTAGAGCTGAGCAACTGACATCACCACCTGAAAAACAGAGAAGGCCATTGTGTCACAATCTGGTAGAACCACCAAGATGTCCATCCACTTGTTGTAGTCACCAAAATGAAATAAGGCCATCAAGAAGAATCAGCTGAGTGTAGAACGTCCAAAATCCCCAAACGCAAGGAATCCGGATCGCGGAGGAGTAAGAAAAAAGAAAACACTCTGTGGTGGAGAGGAAAACCCAGGAATCATCTGTTCTTCTTGCCCCAAAATTTTACATGATGCCTGAAATGTGTGTCATAGTTATCAATACTTGGGATGGATAAGAGAATTGACACCCGATAACTATCCTTTTCTCACAGAATAAAGTCAAGTTTCAGTTTAAGATGTTCAAGACTGAGAGAAAAGAGCCATGGTGGTTCGAATGCAGTATAGCAGGTTAACTCACTGCTCTCGCTCCAGAAGTTCGATCCTGACCAGCTCAAGGTTGACTCAACCTTCCATCCTTCCGAGGTCGATAAAATGAGGACCCAAAATTGTTGGGGGCAAAATACTGACTTTGCAAACTGCTTAAAGAGGACTGTAAAGTCCTGTGAAGCAGTATATAAGTCTTAAGTGCTATTGCTATCTTCCTTCCCTTCCTTCCCAGTGGTTAGAATGCAGTACTGCAGGCTAACTCTGCCCACAGTCAGGAGTTCAAGCCTTGTTGGCTTAAGGTTGACTCTTCCTTCCTTCCTCCCTCCCTTCCTTCCTTCTTTCCCTCCCTCCCTCCCTCCCAGTGGTTAGAATGCAGTATTGCAGGCTAACTCCGCCCACAGTCAGGAGTTCGAGCCTCACCGGCTCGAGGTTGACTCTTCCTTCCTTCCTTCCTTCCTTCCTTCCTTCCTTCCTTCCTTCCTTCCTTCCTTCCTTCCTTCCTTCCTTTCCTTCCTTCCTTCCTTCCTTCCTTCCTTCCTTCCTTCCTTCCCTCCCTCCCTCCCTCCCTCCCTCCCTCCCT